CCTCCGGTGTGGCGAGGTCGCGCCTTCGGCGGTCGCAGGCTCCGGGGTGTTTCCCGCCCGCCTGGGGGTGGTGGGACGGCGGGGCTCGGCACCGTGGTGCGCGGGAGCTGTTGGGAGCGGGCCAGGGCCTCGCCCGTACCCCATTCGGTTGTGAGAGTCCCGTTGGATACGGACTGCCGGGAGCCCCGGAGAAGGGCGGGGGCCCGTGGGACGGTTCCGGCCTGGGGTGAACAAAGATAAGCGTCGATAACGATTGCTCGTTCTTTTCGTCTCCTGGGGCGGCCCCGAGGACCGAGTTATCCGTTCCTCCCCTGGCGGTGTCGTCGACTGCATCCGGCTTAGGTTTGCTTGTGTCGTCCCTGGCTTGCCTTGTTATTGTAGCGTTACCGTAAGTCGGCAGATGATGAACTCTCTAAGACTCAATTTGGAGTTTTAGAGAGCAGGCATTCTTTATTGCGGCGCCGGGTGCAAGGTGGAATTTCCACAAATCAAGCGCACCTATGGCTAGATCACCGTTACATTTATACACAAGAATTACAAAGTAGTACACTCCCAGTTACAATGATTGGTTAGTGATTTGCATATACTTATAATAAATGTCTGCTATGTCGTTCTCTTCTGTTAGTACGCTTGCGCAGGGGAAAGGTCTTCACCTGGGCAAGGGTCTTCTTGACCTGCGAGTGTGTTTTTTAGTATTATAATGAAGGCAGTTCACTTCAGGTTACCTTAAAAGTAAGTTTTGTTGCCAAGTTAGCTAGATATTCATCTACCTTGTCAAGTTGTCAAATAACTCATCCCATATGCAATAAAGCCTAAGCGATCTGGTTACGGTCGAGAGAATTAAGACTAAGGCTAACATGGTCCAGTGAATAACACAGGAACCCATATATCACGCTAACATACAGACTAGTAACACAGCAACCCCTGCATAACGCTAACATAAAGACTACCTTCTTGAAATCAAGATGTTCTTATAGTTGATTATTTCACAACCAACACAAAATATAAAAAGATTCAATAAAACTTATGGTAATCTTCAACAGTAGCGGGGTGTGTGAAAAGGGAAAGGTCTAACGCTTGCTGGCTTTTTAGACTAGCTGCCGTGTCAGAAGTTGAAGACAATGGAAAAAAGGTGAACTAGCTGAAAAATGAAGCGAAATGGATCCGACTGGAAGCTGCCTCCGTCTGCAGAATAGAGAAACCCTGCCTCTTTGAGTGAGGAACGATCCCAATTAATAGTCCTCAGCAGACTGCATCGCTAACATATAATGCAGGGTCTGTATATGTATCCAAAGGTACAGTAGGTCCTCGTGCGTGAGTGAGAGACGCTATGTATCGATGAACCCTCACATTTAAAGAGCTGTAAGACACTAGCTGTACTCTTAGATGGATGACAGTCGAGTGACTGGAGCTGCGGAAGAGGAAGAGGGGAGAGAGAAACGTCCGAGTTGTACATTTCCTCAGGCGGCGCCAAGAGCAGGAGCTGAGGTGAGTCCCAGGCCCTTGGGCGTGCGTTCTGGGTTTTTTTTTTGGGGGGGTGGGGGGGGTGGTGTTTTTAAAAAAAGAGCACAATGTTGACTGCAGAGCTCTCTTGCTGCCTGACCTCTCCTTTTCCTTTCTGTCACTCCTCTTTCATGGCTGTAATTGTCATTTGGATAATTTTAGAAGAGCGGTTAAGTTACTTGCCTGTGTAAAAGTGCTGGTAATACCAGGAAGGTAAGCGCTCGAACCGGTAGCGAGTAACTTGGCTACAAATAGAATTTCTGAGGGAAGAACAACAATAGCAAGAAGCAAATAGCAAGTTACAAAAAAATTTGTGTGTGTCAAACACATCAAAGTTTTATTACCAAGTGTTGTTTGGCAATATGTTCCTGTTGTGGTTTAACCTCAGCCGGCAACTAAGCACCACACAGCTGCTCGGTGACTCCCTCCCAGTGGGATGGGGGAGAGAATCGGAAGGGTAAAAGTGAGAAAACTCGTGGGTTGAGATAAAGACAGTTTAATAGGTAAAGCAAAAGCCGCGCACGCAAGCAAAGCAAAACAAGGAATTCATTCACTCCTTCCCA